GACAGTGTCACCAGTAGGTGGAAGAGGGCAAGAGGAGGAGGGGTAGGTACCAAGGGGCTGCGGAACATGAGGAGAGGAGCATGTGCCGAGGGCAGAGTGGGGTGATGGGAGGGTCGGGCACTGGAGGGGGTCGCTAAGTAGGATGACAAGGGGCAGGTACCAGGGCTGTACAGCATGAGTGAGGGGTAGGATTGGTGCCAAGGGAAAGAGAGAGACAAGGAGAGGGGTGGGCACCAGGAGTCCAAAGGAGGGAGGTCAGGAGAGGCGGCAGGCACTGGGGGGACGGAGAGGGAATGTGCTTGCAGCAGGGGCACAGGGAGGGAACAGAGGTGCAGCTGCTAGGGAGGCAGAGGGGGAGTAGAAGAAGGGGCTGGCACCAGGGGAAAAGGAGGGGGCAGGGGGAGACACAGGTGAGAAGGGGACAACGAGAGGTGAGGGATAGGGCAGGTGCCAGGGGAGTATGGTGGGCAAAGAGTGGGGGGGCCTGGGGGCAACAGGGCAGTGGGGGAAAGGGAAGTTATCAAGGAGGAGAGGGGCATGAAGGGTGGGTGCCAGGAGGACAGAGGCGGGAGGGAAGGGGTAGTCACCAGGAGGGATGGGGGGGATTGAGCAGAGGGGCAGATGGAAGGAGGGGAGAGAGGAGAGGGGCGGGCACCAGGGGGCAGAGTGGGGACAAGGGAACAGATGAGCACAGGGGGGCAGAGAGAGCAGGATGGAGAAGGGCAGGCCCTAGGGGGGTAGAGGGGTGTGGAGATGTGGGCACCAGAGGGACAGAGGGAGTGTGAGGGGAGAGGCGGGACCCAGAGGTTAGGAGAGGCTGAGGGGAGCAGTGGGCACCAGTGGGGTGAGGGGAAGGGCAGAGACCAGGAGTCCAAAAGGGGGATGAGGGAAGGGACTTGCATCAGGCAGGCAGAGGGGGCATAGGAAAGAGCAGGCACCATGGAGGCAGATGGTGGCAATGGTAGAGATGGGCCTCAGGAGGGCAGAGGAGGAATGAACAGAGGGGCTGGCACGAAAGGATTGGCAGGGTGAGAGGTCCAGGTGTCAGGGAGGCAGAGGGCAAGGGGAGGGAAAGGGGAAGAACTAAGGGGAAGGTGGAGGGTGTGTGTGTGCACGCGGGAAGGGGCAGGCCCCAGGGCGTGGGAGGATGAGGGAAGCGGCTTGTGCT